CAAGGGGCTCCGGGTAAACCTGGTGCAATTTAAAGTACCACATGCATGTGACCATGTCTCATTTCGCAAAATCATAAAATCATCTGGACTTACAGCACTAGGCTCTAAAGGTTACTAGGGCCTACTAGTGAATGGGCTGCATGCTGACAGCCTGCACAAGTAAAAACGAAACAGATTGTCACATTCTAGCCTGCAGAATTGTGCAAAAACGATCCTCAACCCTCAAACTGCCGACCAAACCGCTTCCTCATGACCGAGGCTCTGCAAAAAAAGCGCAAAGCTCCGTTTGCTTCACGGGCTGCCTCTTTTCGGCACGGCGGGATCTCTTAGCGCTCAGACCTTCACAGCCACTGCAGACGGCAAATCGCATGTGCTGCTGTTGTTGCCTGTGCAGTTGCATGGCGGTGGCAGCGTTGGTGATGGTTTCGCGCAGACAGCGATGACGGCGATGCTGCTGTAGCTGCTCTGTTGGCCACTACTGTTGCTGCTGCTATGCGAACCGCGGTGCCGAGTTGTGATTCAATTATGTTTGTGCTGTACCGCCTTGTTCGGTGCTGCGTCGAATATATCCTTCAAAATGCTTTGGAGCCATCTGTCATCTCAACAATGCTCGGGTTGGCCAAATGGGGCTGTGTAACCCCCCCCATACCTTTTCTTTATATCAAATTGGGGTCGTCGTTGTTCTCCTCTAACCATTTTATGTGTGTTTAATGGGGTTCTGGGCTTCATCTTCATCAGTTTGTATTCTTCATATCTTTTTCGGGGCTCCCAGCACCATTTGGAGGAATGTTCGAGCTTGACTAGATTATTCGGAAGGGGATACTATACAACCCCAAATGGTTTCGTGATGCTACGTGCAGATCAATGACCGTCTTGCAGCAAACAGATTTTGGCAAACTTGTGGGCACAATCCAGGCAACCGGGCGAGCCTGCATTCACCATGATGGCAAACGAACAGGTGAGTGTTGGCTTGAGTCGTAGTTGTAGCGTGGACTTTGAGCCAGTGCAAGCTGTGGCGGCATTCGATGCAACATCTCGGAGTTTGAGGGGTTATGAAGTCAAGTGAGCTATAGTCTAAGCTCTTGAAATTATCGGGGTTATGAAAGGGGAAACTAGGAGTTTGGACTAATTATAGCTCAAGTTGCTCAAGTGTACAGTGCACAGGGATCACATTTCTTTCCCACCTCTTGCAGCACTGAACGCCATCCAATCGACAATGCGCAAGATCGGGGCCAGGAGAATATGGCGCCGCAAACTGCTGTCCTTCGAAGTATAGAGAACTTCTCGTCGGAGATACCCAGGCAAGTGCCAAGCTCATGCTCCTGGCCATGTTTGTTTTGTGTTGTCGTAATTGTGCGGTTGTCAGGCTTGATTCTATTTAGACTTATCTGAAATGTGAGGGGCTGTACAGCATGCCCTCACAAAGCAATCCAGCCCGATTTCTTCAGATGCACAGGTTGACGTTTTCAATACCGTGGCTCCTTCTTGCGCTCGGAAAGCCTTCCAGCGCGGCGTGGTGATCGTGCATGGTCACACACATGCTGTGAGTAGAGACACGCAGCACCACCGAACAACCCCCTGTTGTGAGCAGCAAGCATGTGTCCGAGACTAGCAGACCGTTCCGGGTGAAATGCCTGACTTGCTCCATCATCATCTGGAAGAAGTCATGAAACCTTGAAGGAATGGGGTGCAGCTTGTGGCTTTGCATTATTTATGTGCTTTGCAATTTGCAAAACATGGCATACTTGCAAATGCATGTCCTGCTTGCTATTCAGTCTGAAGCCCAGTCCTACGCAGTCCCTTGCACTTCAACAACACACGTGCCAGGTCGTACCGCTGTACTCTTTTGAATTAAAATCAACATTTTTTGGACCCTCAGCCTGTTGCGTATACTCTACTCCAAAGGCTTCTGCTACTCCTCCCACGGCTCATACCAATCACATTCCTTAGGGGTGGGCGGTCCAAAGCCTGGTTGCTGTGGAATGCGTTTCACGTACGCAACGTCAATCACGCATGCCCACCCCGCACCCAAAGAAGTAAGACTCTCCACCTCCGACGACTACTCATCATTAATGCCCACTACTGCTGCTGCTGCTGCTACTACTACTACTACTACTAGTACTCCGGCTCCAGGGACGACGACGACTGCGACTGTGACTGCGACTGCGACTACGACTACTACTACGACGACGCCGGAGGAGGAGGAGGAGGAGGAGCAGCACGAGGACCACCACCCACGAGGTCCACCACGACGACGAAGATCATAAAGAATAATCCGTAGCATTCCTACGACTAGTGGTAGGGGTAGTGGTAGCGGTGGTGGTGGTGGTGGTGGTGGTGGTGGTGGTGGTGGTGGTGGTGGTGGTGGTGGTGGCGGCGGCGGCGGCGGCTGCGATGGTGGTGGCGGCGGGTGGTGCTGCTGCTGTTGCTGC